CAGTGGCTTTGCCTTTAGAGCCTGACTCCTGCCCAGCTCTGAAGAAGTACAGAAGTAAGTTTTGTGGTATCACCACTCCTCCTGCAATAACCTTGTCACTCTCCACTACTCCTTTGTTTAACTGTAGGAGTCCTGATAAAAAATGTGAAGTTTCAGATTTAAATAGCTCAAATAATGAAAGTTAAGATTTTAAACATCATATGACTGAAATTGACCAAAATGGCCTGGGAATTTAGGAGGACTATTAGCCAGGCTGGGCAGAGATGGTGTCCCTAACCTCTGCCAGAAGCTGGGAATGGGTGACGGGAGGATCACTTGGTGATCACCTGTTCTGTTCATTCCCGCTGGGGCACACTGAAGACAGGACAGGGGGCTAGAGAGATCTTTAGTTTGACTTAATGCAGCTGTTATGTAGGATCCCATTCATAACTAATGCCCAAGAGCTACTGCACTATAGCTGTAGTGCTTAAGATGCTCCTATGCTGATGGAAAAGCATCTCCCTCTCTGAAAGACAGTAGCTTTGGTGATGGGAGAACACAGCACTGTCCACACAGGGGTTAGGCCGGTATAACTGGGTCACTTGGAGGGTGTGTATTTTTCACACCCTGGAGCAACATGGTTATATGATATGGGGGAGTAGGGCAGAAATGGCCTTAGGCAGAATCCCAGCAATGGGGGTTACTGCTCCTACCACCTACAGGATTGGTCTCCAAGCCTTGATAGCTAGGAAACACGCATGGCCCTCTCTTTGGGCCTATTTGTACTGCAGGTAGTATGCCTGTGCTCTGCCACAGATGGTCTCTGCCTTTAGATTGCTGGCTATGGGTAGGCCCTGATCTTAAAAAGCTGTGAGTGTTTCCATGGTGAAGGCACGGTAGAAGGGGTAGACAGCCTGCCATACTTGCCCCGTCTCTCTCACCCTGCACTTTCACTGTGGCCTCCCTGCTTTCATCTTCCAGAGCCCTGCCTATATCCAGCTGCCCAAGTCCTAGTATGCTCCCATGTGATGCCCTGGTGCATTTTAGAAGAACGGCAGGGCCTGCAGTGATATTCAGACAGACTTGCAAGCAGATATTTAAAGTGTCTCCTGTGCAGCCCATGATATTAAAACACTGGTTAACAATTAAAATCACCCAGTCACGCTGCTTTTACTATGTTAGTAACTGACTGTAGTCCCCCCGCCGCCGCCGCATGGAGATAAGCTTCCCCTGCTAGCTGTTGACTCAGAATTAGGCAGCTTCTCTGTCACGGAAATGGAGCATTCCAGTGGCTGACAGCAAGAGAGAGTCCTTTGTGAAGCTGAGACCTGGTAGGAGCATTCAATAGTAGGATTGGTTGGTTTCACTCTCCATAACCTGCATCTTCTCTCTCCTGCAGGTAGGTCCTGCAGGATCCCAGTTTGGAATCTTGGCCTGTCTCTTTGTGGAACTCTTCCAGAGCTGGCAGATCCTGGCACGTCCATGGAGGGCCTTCTTCAAGCTGTTGGCTGTGGTGCTCTTCCTCTTTGCCTTTGGCCTCTTGCCTTGGATTGATAATTTTGCCCACATTTCGGGATTCATCAGTGGCCTCTTCTTGTCCTTTGCCTTCCTGCCCTACATTAGCTTTGGGAAATTCGATTTATATCGGAAGCGATGCCAGATTATAGTGTTTCAGCTCGTCTTCATTGGACTCTTCTCAGGACTCGTGATTCTGTTCTACTTCTATCCGATTAAGTGTGAATGGTGTGAGTTCCTCACATGTATTCCATTCACAGACAAGTTCTGTGAGAAGTACGATCTAGATGCACAGCTCCACTGAATGGCGAAGACTGGCTTCTCGAGCAGGTCCTGGAGTTGGATTGTCTTTGCATTTTACTGTGCCAGTTCCACATGGACAAAACCTCTCATCCCGTGACACATCTAACCCTGACTACGGTTAATTTAAACTGTCTTGTCAGCACTTGGCAGACCCATTGTGCCTTATCTCAGAAGTCCTGCACATTTTCTGAAAACAGAACAATTGTGCCTTGTTCAATTTATTGAACCTTTTCTGCTGCCATATTTTTATTACACTACTTTAATACTACATTTTTAACCAGATTTGTTTACTACTGCTAAGGTGGTGATTAAATGGAAAAGTAGCGTTTTAGCTACTGTTAACTGTTCTGCACAGTCTATGGCTTTGTTTATTTACTTTATCTTACAACATGTTCAGCCTCAGCCACTGACTGCCATCACCAGCCAAGCAAGTTTATTTTTTTGATATTGGCACAACTGATGGATTCTTTCAGGACTGAATTTAATTTCCTGTTTCTTCAGTTCTTACCTGTAGTTTATGAACACAAACCAAAACAGAACCAGGTAGTAGTAGAGGAATTAAGTGGAGCCCATCCTTTCTGACTAGGCTTCTCCTTTCCCAAAAGATTTCCCCAGTTCCCTTCTCCCAACACCATGGTCTCACCTGCACAGTAAGACCCTGCATTCGAACTAGAAGCTACACCAATGGCTTGGCCTCTAGATGTTCTAGCAAGGTGGCACAGCTGTGTGGGTAGTGAGTCAGGTGTTATAGGAACTGGATGCATTTTGACTGGTATAAGCTCTAATCCTAAACAGCTTCAAGCTCACTGTCATCCCCTCACACCATTTTTATTACCTTTATTTCAAACACCTACAGGCCAGCTTTCTGCAACACAGACCAGCTGCCTCATCTTGTTTACAGAGATCAGGTTCCCCTTCCACGGCCATCACCTCCTGCTTGTCTTACCAAGGGAGCAGGCTCCTTGAGGTAGGGCAGGCCAAAAGCAACGAAGGTCTTGGTTTTCCACACAGTCCAGTGCTCTGACTTCGTGCCCTCGCTGTAGGTGCTGGCTTCCTGCCTCCTTGTGCTCAAGATCTCATGCCACCATTTATGGCTTTTAGTTGATCCAATGCTCTATGCTTTCACCATAGCCACTTTTTAATCTCGCAGTAGCTCAGGATGAATACAGCATGTGTGAGGTCTGGACTGCTTCAGGGTCTGTTTCCTCCTGAAATCTGGTTAAGACAGCTGCATAAATTGTTAGGCATAACTAGAAATAAAGGATTAAAATCCTATAGTGCCATCAAGTTCTGGCAGGCAACGAGAGCTCCAATGAGCATCAGAGAGCCTTCAGAACAAGGTGGGGGCAGTGAAAGGCGGCACCACATCCAAATACTAACGCACAAGAGACTCATCAGGTCCTGCCTTTGCACTTCTTTGAAAGATACTGAATCCACAGGCTAGTCCTGCTGCAGTAACTGCCTAGGGCGAGTCCTTTCCAGGCAGAGGGAGTGCTGTGCCAGGAGCTGCTATGAGTGAGTTAGAAATTAAGGTATTGCTATTGCCACCACTATTCCTGTAGGCCATGCTGGGCTGACACGTGACCCTGTACACCAGCTGTGTTTCATTTATGGTTTCCTCCCAGAGCCAAGCACCCACAATGCATCCAGGAAACAGTTTTGTCACTACAGTTAGGCACCCACACAAGAAGCAGTGTAGATGCAGGGGGTGGATTCAGGTGCCTGACTTGTTAATCAACAGTGACAATTTTGGCCAGCCCAGTTTAAATGCCAGCCAGACACTAGAACCATTTCATAAACACAGAGTACAGTGTTACATTGTTGAAGATGTACATAGTTAAAAATGCATTCAGCTAGTAACTGCCCACCATGGTTACCCTACCGGGGCATGGGACAACCTCCTCCCAGGCACAGCACTACGGACAACCCCCGTCAGAGGACCAAGGGCAAGCCCCCCACCGCCAAAAGTCCCATCCCCACTGTGCCCCTGCTCCACTCTCACTCCTGCCCCTTCTCTGCTTCCCAGTGCCATGGAGAAGCCAAGTGAGAGGGTAGAGCAAGACACAGAGAGAGTGTGTGTACTGCAGGATGACCCCCTGCTCCATGCCAGACCAAGCTATAGGCCACAAAGCCCCCAAACCATTCTATAGACAGGACAGCTTCTGAGCACCCAGAAAACAAAGGTCTCCTTGAGGACAATCCCTTATTCATTGAGAAATCATAGCTAGTACAATTACATCTTTGGAATCCCTCGTTCTTCAATCAAGCTCCAGTCATCAAACTGGGTTTTCAGAAAAAGCATTTGAGATCGGTCTTGACATTAGTCAAGGCTGCTGTCCAGTAGTAGGCTAGAGCACAGCCCTAAGCAGCAAAGTTTGGGTAATATAAAAGTTTGTATCTGGGCATACAACTGCATAATTCTCTATTCAAGTATGACATCAAATCAAAATGAGGTCAGCTTTATATAAAAAAAAAAGTAAGTCTGAGCCCCAAGTATGGATGGCAAAAACAAAAACCCACACAGCTAACATGGAGTGGGGGGGGGACCCTTTCCCCAAAGACCCCCTATTTGGCCCACTAATCCTGCCTTGAATGCACCCATCTCCATGAGGCACAGACATTTCAAACAACTCAGCTTGCCCTGTGGAGTTTAGAGTACCGACACTAAACACGTGCATCTTAAATGGTAGGCAACTCTTGACCTCAGCTGAACCAGAATGGCTGTACTACTATAATCTTGTCTCAAATACAGCTGCCTAGGAAATGTATATCAAGAACTATTTTTTTAAAATCATATCAGCATGAACCAAATAGGTGAGCTGCAAGAATAGTGAGCAAGTGCTGCTTCCACTCATTTCAGGTCGATTCAACTGTGTTCTTGCTGTTAGTATAAGCACTGAATATTAATCACTAACTATAAATTAAACAGTACTTAGTACTGGGGAAAGGTCACTAATCCCACAGGTATCCATAATAGCAGAAGTGCCTAATGACAAGGCATGTCTGCTCACTCCAGCCTACCTGACTCACACCTGGAAATGTAACAGGACAAGTGGCTGAATGTGACTGGGACACAGCAACAACTCTGGAGTGCTCCAGGAGCTGAGAGTTGCAGTGCTAGCCACCATAAGCACGAACACTCTTGTTCTAGATTCATGAAGATAAAGGGTTCCTGAAAGTGTGCATGAAACTTTAGGACGTACCTTACAGGTCACTTTCGCAGCTTCTTTATAAAGCAGACTTCATCCCGATTTCTGATTCCATACCTGCATGGAGAGTTACGCTGTTATAGTCATAGAAACAAACTTTTATATGCCCCAGCCCACAGACTCCTTCTCACCTGGGAGACACCATGCTTGAAGAGAATGACATGGACACTGTGTAGCTAGCAGGGCACCAATTAGTCATACCACAGCGAATTCTAACCTGTTTATCCAGCTTCCCAGCCCATCACTACAGTAACTCAGGACCTCCAGTCATGCATTAAGTGACATGACTAACATGTCACATGCACTCCATTCTTCTCGTCTCTTCCCCAGGAATCGTGCCTGCTCAGCACTGTTTGGGGAGGGAAAGGAGGGGCTGGAGCAAAGGCATTTCTTGCAACCACCAACCTGTATGCAGAAGTCAGACAAGCCTTCCCTCCCTCCCTCCCCTCCAGTCTGTGCACGGAGTTGCCAAGTTTCTTTGTTCAGTGTGTCCAGTGCCAGAGGGTGTGTAATAACTAGAGAATGCAACCGGTGCTCATGCTGCTCCCGCCTCCAGTTACTGAGTATGTGCATGGGGAGCTGAGATGGTTTGTAAACTACTTTGGTCCCCAGTGATATGCCACTGAGCAGGGCCAGGAGCCTGCAGCTCTTCACTCCCTCCTCTGGTGATGTTACCACTCCCTTCTGCCTCGCCACCAGAGCCACTCTCCCTCTCCCCCCAGGTTGTCCTTGGTCTGCTTCCTCTCCTCCTCTGATCCCAATGCCTCACTGCCAGTTCAACCATAACAAGAAAAAAAGCCCCAGACCTCTTTACCCATGGTTCCAGCCAATCTCTGCCCTCCCAGCGCCATCACAGCACACAAGTCCATTACTTCCCCAGGGAAAGTAATCCCCCTGGACCCCATGCCTCTCTTTCCCCAAGCCCAACTTCATCAGTGGGCATTTATGATATTGTCAGGCTAACTTAAATAGCCCCTTAGAGCAGAGTGTTTGTCATGTTTATCTGGGAAGCCACACACACACACACCTATGGTTGGTGTGCTGTAAATAGCAACTGCCTGGGGAAGACAGACCCTACTCTTGATGACTGTGACTAGGGAAATGGCTTTTCCCCCACCAGAAAGGGTTAGGGCAGGGGTGCCCAAACTTTTTTCAAAGAGGGCCAGATTTGATGAAGTGAACAAGCGTGAGGGCCGACCATTTTGCCTGACATTCTTTGAACCATTAAAATTAAATGCAAATTAACTATTTTATGCAACGTTTATTGCAAACGGCATACTTTTCATTTCGTCACATGGATGACAAATCTAAACAGGTGTTAAATCACTCTGCCTTTCATATCTGAAGGCCAGATGAAAAAAAAATCCAGGAAGCTGAAATATATGTCAGGAACATTGTAAAGTACATTACATATTATTGGTAATAAAGGTTGTCTGTCAACTTTTAAGTTCAAAAAATATGAACAGGAACATAACACCAAGTATACATGTTGTGTCCAAATATATTTATAACTGATTTAGACCAACTGACATTAACTGAGATTTTACAATGTATTCATCTCAATACATATGGATTCATTGGGGGCCATAAAAGATAGATATTGCCAAATTACCTGTGGGGCCGTATTAAACCGGAACACGGGCCGCAATTGGCCCGCGGGCCGGACTTTGGAGATGCCTGGGTTAGGGTGACTCATGGCCGCTCTGTTGAATTTCAAGGTTTGCTGACTTCAGAACATCAAGTCAATTGTTAGACACCCCCCTCCAGGAGTGTAAAATCTTGCACACTTAGCCAATGCCTACAGTACCACTTTTAGCACTAAAACTTTAGTTGTTCAGGGGTGTGGAAAAAAACAAAAAACAAAACAAAAAAACACCTTTCTGAGCAACAAAAGTCAGTGCTGAGAAGTGCCGGGATAGAGAATACTTCCCTGGGAACCAGGCTCTCAGAGAGCTTAACAGCCCTCATTTGAGGTAGTATTTTTTATCCCCAGGAGAGGTCTCCCCCAGTGATGAAGTGTGGCTGTCCTGCCCAGGCATACTGACACAGGGTGTGTAACGTAAATGATTATTAAAAATGTAAATGTTGGCCCTGGCAGTGGTGTATCAAGTGAAACTGAATCTTTCATGGCCAATAGCAGAGCTGACCAACCTATGGAGAGAGTAATGAGTTCTCTTAGAAAGCCCTAACAGTTACCAAATTGCTTCTACTGAGGTTCCTTAGAAGACCAAGCCAGGAAAGGAGCCTTAATGATTTCAGCCCACTTTTGCGGGAACAGTCTGAACAAGAGTTTCTGGTCCAGCTAGAGCAGCTGTGGCCAACCTGCGGATCGCGAGCCACATGCGGCTCTTCCCCCCCTTAAAGTGTGGCTTGTGAACCCTCCTCCATGGCTCGTAAAGCTGCCCCTGGAAACAGCCCCTGGTTCCCTGAGCTCACCAGGAGCCGTCCGGCACAGTGAAGCAAAGATGGCGCTGATATGGCCAAGAAGCCAACCTGAGGTTTTGTTTTTTTTTAAAAAGAAGCAGTGTCTTTTTTTGTGACAACTTCCCCCCCACCCCCTTTGCACTATATGCACAACTATTTTGGCTCCTTTCCTGTAATGGGTTGGCCACCCCTGGGCTAGAGGGATATAAGCAGTTTCTATTTTGTTTTTGTAACTAAAGAGAAAAGCCTCTCTAACTGTGCACATACTAGATTAGACTCAATATACATGTTGGCCATGTATTGGAAAATCTCCCCCTCATATTGCTTTGTTGCAAGGGTTAGGCAAACTCCGTTTTAATGAGGCTGCTGGTCACAGGTTTCCCCAGGGAGGAAACACATGCCTGTGTTGAGGTCAGGGAGAGATGTGCAGGTAGGTCAGTGACCATAACACCAACCCTGGAGCATTCTATGAGGCAAGGCAGCCACACCTCTCAAGCTTTCCATTGGAAAATCTAACCAGAATCAAAAGGAAAAGATCAACCCTGTATGCACAAACATTTTACAAGCATATAATCGGACAACCCCCATCCAGCCAGGCCTCTATCTAGCCCCAATCGGCTCAGTGAAGAGAAAAATCCTGCCACTTACTCTCTCAACTTCTTTTTGTCATCTGTCATTTTCTCTCCAGCAAAGCTTAAGTGATATGTTCTCCATACATAGGTCCTGTAAAAGCAAAATTCCATGACTTAACGGAATGACTGAGCAGCATGGGCCTTCAGGCTCTTCCTGCCCCACATGTGCTTTACAAGGGTCTCTACCCTGCAGTGGTATCTCTTGATTTGATCTCTCTCTCTCTCTCTCTCTCTCACACACACACACACACGATTGCGTGAGTGGCTACTTTACATGGTAGTGACAAGATGCATCAGATTGCCCATAGCACCTCCTTGTCTTTTCTGGGAGCCCCCCACTCACCAGCTAATGTGCTGTCTGCCTCCTTCCCGCTCTTGCTTCAGCTGCACGTATCGCTGGATGGCCTTCTTCAGGTCCAGGACGCTGGCATTCTGTACCACTACCACAGCTAAAATGGAAGAGACTGTCACCCGGCAGTAACCCAAGAGATGCATTCTGATAGGCAGAGCCCCACCCTGACCTGCTGGAAGTGGCACTTTAAGTGGAGCTGCATTGGGCAGAAGGGACAGCCAGCCCTCAGCACCACTGGGACCACACCATGCCTCCCCCAGCCAGCCCTCAGCACCACCCTGGACTGCGGGGGTAGGGGCAGTGATTAAAGGCCCGGGACTCCAGCTGCCACTGCAATAGCAATACTGCGGCAACAGTGGCACCAGAGCCCCAGGCGCTGTTAAATCACTGGGCCCCGGGAAACCTGTCCTCTTTGCTGCCCCACCTCCAGTCTGCAGCCTTGGCCTGGGCCAACAAGGGGAAGAGGTCTCCTTCCCAGAGCTTGCTCTGCCTCTGAGCTGAACTAATCCTGTTCCCCAATCAGCTGTTCATGGCTGGGGAAGGAGGGGTAGCAGCAGCTCTCTTCCTCTAGGAGCTCCATGAATCAGGATTCCTTGGCACTCTGGGGCTATGTCTAGACCTTTCGCAATCGGGGCTTTTTTGTGCAAAACAAATCTGAGCTGTCTACACTGGCCCTTTTGCACAAAAGCTTTGCATAAAAGGACTTTTGCCAGAACGGGAGCAGCATAGTATTTCCGCAAGAAGCACTGATTTCTTACATGAGATCGTCAGTGTTCTTGCGGAAATTCAAGTGGCCAGTGTAGACAGCTGGGAAGTTTTTCCACAAAAGCAGCTGCTTTTGCGGAAAAACTTGCCAGTCTAGACATAGCCTGGGAGTCTTGAAGAGCCATGTGCTAGACCTGAAAGAGCCACATGCCGCTTGTGGGTAAAGTGCTTAGGCTTAGTGCTGCACTAGATCAAGCGGCAAGAGAAAATATGGGAACTGAACCTCGGTCTCAATGTCCTCCCCAGATCCTACCCAGCTTAAGCAGGGGCTGCCCATACCTGCCCTGTGCCAAAGTCTTAACTGGCAGCAACTACCTACCTAGTTGACTTTCCCATTTATCCCCTGCTCACTCCAGCTTCTGACAGACGAATGCTTCAGAGCACGGACATGGCTGTGATTTGCAGGGGACACAATTCAACACCGTCCCTGCATGTGCCATTTAACATGACAACCGTGTACTTAGAGCATATATGTGATCTTAGAAGGTAAAGCTACACTGTAATGAAGACAGGCCGTTCTTGCGCAAGAACCCGCAGAGCAGCCTCACTGCCCGCCTGCTCTTGTGCGAGACTTACAGTACAGCGTCAGAAGATGGGGCTTCTTGTGCAAGAGCTATGCTCTTTTCTAACAAGCGTAAGCGCTCTCGCGCAAGAGGGTAGTGTGGACGCGCGGCAGGAGTTTCTTGTGCACGAAAGCCGGATGGCTAAAATGGCTCTCTTGCGCAAGAGAGCATCCACACTGCCACGGATGCTCTTTCACAAAAGCACGTGGCAGTGTGGCCGTGTTCTTGTGCAAGAACCCGCCAGTGTAGAGACAGCCTAGGAGCGGATCTCAGAATCCCTGCTCCAGTTTGAGCCCACATGTCTATGCCGCAAGTTTTCGCCCCATCGCCCGAGTCCCGCCAGCCAGAGGGGATGGACTCAATGCTGCGGGCTTTCCAGAGCAGAGCGGCCCCCCAGCGGCTCCCAACACCACCCCGGTCAGACGGCGCAGGCCAGTGCGGGGGACTCACGCATCACTTCTTCATCCGCCTTGCACACGCGCACAGTCATGGCCTGGCCGTACTCCAGCGCGATCTGCGAATTGATTTCCTCCACCGTGCCCTGCCGGGAAGCGAAGGGCCGATGAAGCGCCCGGCGCCGGCGGGGCTCCTGCAGCCATGGGGGTCTGACCCCCTCCAAGGCTGTATCGCCCCTCCCCCACCCGCAGTCACGTGGGGGCGGGAGCTCGGGACACGCCCCCTCCCCCCGTGCGACTCGTTAACGGTCAGTGCCGCGGGGCAGTCACGAGGCCGCGGGCGGGGCCGGGCGCGCGCCGCGCGGGCGGTACCTGCACGGGCAGGTCGCAGAGCAGCGGGTCCTGCACGAGCCGGGCCAGCCCCTCCTGGAAGAGCTCGAGCACCTCGGCGTGCGCCAGCTCCTCCTCCTCGGGGCCCGACTCCGCCATCGCCGCCGGCAGGGCGGGACTTCCTGTGACCCGCTCGGGGGAAGAGGCGGGGGCGCGCCGTGACCCGGAAGCAGAAATGCTGCTGTTCTGCCCGGCCTGCGGGAACGTGCTGGTGGCCGAGGAAGGCGCGAGGTGCCACCGCTTCGCCTGCACCACGTGTCCCTATGTGCGCAACGTCACGCGCAAGGTAACCCCCGCCGCCACTTCGGTGGGCGGGGACTGACAGCCCCAACGGCCGACCTGCTGGGGCAGAGCAACCAATCAGAGCCTGGGCGGGGGTTGCCCTGAGGAGGCTGCTGGGGGCGGAGCTAATCGCTAGGAGGGTGGGGCTGATGTGGGCGGGGCTCCTGTCGTGCCTGAGCCCCGCCTACCAGGTGGGGGCTGGGCGGGCACTTCACAGCCTGTCCCCCCAGGTGAGCAGCCGCAAGTACCCCAAGCTGAAGGAGGTGGACGATGTGCTGGGCGGCGCGGCGGCCTGGGAGAACGTGGACTCCACGGCAGGGGGGCGCCAGCCGGCCCCGGGCCCCCTTCCAGGAGATCTGGCTCCAGCGACAGGCCACCTAGCCCATATCCTTAGAGCCCTGCCAAAATCCGTATCTGCAGCCGCATCCATAGCCCCCACAACGAGCCGCAGACACCTGCACGTACCACCCCTCTGCGGATGCAGATACCCGCGGATTTGCAGGGTTCTAGATTAAAAAATTTGCATCCACATCTGCAGAAATGAGCTGCAGGTCTCCCCTTCCCCAGATACTTGCGGACATAAAGCAGGTATCCGCAGATTTGCAGGGCTCTACGTATCCTGTCCAATTACATAGCCAGCACCAGGTGCTTTGTAGGGAACAAACAGAACGTGTGGTTATCACGTGATGGATTTTGTCACCCATTCTCAGTTTCTGGCAGTCAAGCTAGAGCCATTCAGAGCATGGGGTTGTGTACCTGCTAGTTTTGCCTAATAGCCAATGATGGACTTCTCCTCCATGAACCTCTTTTGAAACCTTTTATGGTTTTGGCCTTCACAATATCCCCTGGCAGTGAGTCCCACAGGTTGTCTGTGTTTTGTGAAGAGACACTTCCTTCTGTTTGTTTTAAATCTGCTACCTGTTAACACAAGAACCTGGAGTCACCAAATAACATGTGAAGGAGGAAATATTTTCTTATTTACTTTCTGTATATCAGTCATCATTCTATAGACTTCTGTCACATCCTCTCTGTTATTTCTTTTCCAAGCTGAAATACCCCAGGCTATTTAATCTCTCTATAGAAGCTGAGTCATACCACGGATCATTTTTGCCGCCCTTTCCAATTTTGATCTATTTTTTTTGAGAGGGGGTGACCAGAATTGCACATATTATTCAAGGTGTGGTTGCACCATGGATTTATGTAGTGGTATTATATGTTTTGTCTTATTGCCTATCCCTTTCCTACTGGTTCCTAATATTGTCACCTCTTTTGATTGCTGCTGCACACTGAGCAGATATTTTTCAGAGAACTATCCACAATGACTCCATGGATAGTTAGTGTTGCCCTTGTATTTTAGAACCAGCTAGTCCCCAACATGCTAAATTCAGTGCCATTAGGGGGTGTTCTCAAGCACAGTGGCCTGAGGTTCTCATCTACCCCTGAAGGCCCTTTTAAGTTCTCTCATCATGTAAAAAGTGAGCCAGTGGACATTTGGAAATCTCTCTTGAATGGCTTGTGGAAGGCTGCATTCTAGTCCATCAGGTAGAGTGGCCCTCACAGTGAGCTCCCCTGGCAGAATGAAGAATTTGCTTTATTACTCTGGGAGCTGTACTCACTAGAGTTCTGGTTTCTTTTACAGAGCCATGTCCCAAGTGTGAGCATCCTCGCGCCTACTTCATGCAGATTCAGACCAGATCAGCTGATGAACCCATGACCACCTTCTACAAGTGTTGTAATGCCCAGTGTGGGCACAGGTGGAGGGACTGACTGGTTTCAGATTTAATTTCTTCAGTGTTGTTTTTGCTGTTTGTTTGAAAATTCCCCAGCTGAGTTGTATGATATATGGTAATGTGGAAATAAATATCCCTGGTTTCAGTTGTTGCATGAGTTTAAATTAACATTGACTGCTGCTAGTGCAGGCATTCACCATAATCTGATGGTCCAGGGTGAAGGTTATGCATATACTGCACATTTTCCTAATGGCACACACAGCAGAACAAAGAGCTGCCTCTGTTTAGAGCTGTGGTGTCTAACCAGTTCTGAATCAGTAGCCAGTATAGTGGTTGCTGCTATAGCAAACTAGCCCCTCAGCCAGCCAAATAGCCACATGTGGCTAGCGTATTGGATGCTATGGTGTAGGGTGGTGGGTCACCAGCGCCTCCTACAATGCAGAGGCTAGGTCACTTGCATCACCACGAAGTGTCCACCCAGCTCTTGTCTCTGTTGTACTCAAGAGTTGGGGGCACAGGCCC